CCCCAGCACCCGCTCCCTCCCCTGTGAGGAAGGAAACTCCTTGGGCTCCCCCCCACCCCCCGTACTTGAGGGGTGGAGTCCAGATCAGTTGGCCCAACAATGCGGTGTCTAGTGAGGGAAGAACCTACAGGGAGCCAGGAAGCAGAGGAACAGGGAGCACTCTCTCCCATGCCTCCGTGAGCGGCCTGAGACAGTCAGCAAGTGCCCTACCCTGGCACCTCGGCCACTGCTGCCTGAGGCCTCCCTGGCACCCTCCGCCCCAGGCAGTGACACTGCTCAGATGCTATAGCCGAAGGCTCTACCCATAATGCATCAGCTGTTTCCATCGGATTTGGGGGCCAAACCCCAGGAGCTGAGCATGCTGAGGGACAGCGAGGCAAGCATTGCCATGCTTGTGTCTGTCCAGGACGGTTGACGCTGAGGTGCAGCTGGTAAGCCATGGCCTGGGACGCATGCTCGCCACTACCAATGCGCCTACGTGGGGCCTGGCACCTCTGCTGCTGCGCCCCCAGCTGGGGGCAGCGGAGGACGGCCGCACCCACATGACAGCCCTCCTGGCCCGGGGCCAGCCCTGCCCAGCCCTGGCTGGTGGACAGCATCGTGCTCTCCCTCTCACCTACCTGCTGTTCTCCTTTTACGTGGATGGACAGAAACATGCACCGGCTCCAACGGAAGCACACACTGAGCGGCCTCTGTGCCCGGGTCTCACTGAAATGCTCCATGCAACTGTACTGTAGTAACAACACAGGGGAACCCAGTGACGGGGAGGGAATTGGGCTGGGATAAGAGCAATCCCAGGATTGATGGAACCGTATCATAAAATGATGATAATATTAGCAAAAAGAAATGCTTCATTGAAAGCTATTAATTAAATTTTCCCCTGGGGCCAGCAAGTCCTTGACTTGAATGTGCCAGGATCCCATATGGGCACCGGCTCTAATCCCGGCAGCCCCGCTTCCCATTCAGTTCCCTGCTTGTGGCCTGGGAAAGCAGTCAAGGACGGCCCAAAGCCTTGGGATCCTGCACCCGCGTGGGAAACCCGGAGGAGGCTCCGGGCTCCTGGCTTTGGATCAGAGCAGCTCCAGCCATTATAGTCACTTTGGGAGTGAATCATCAGATGGAAGATCTTCCTCTCTGTCTCTCCTCCTCTCTGTATATCTGCCTTTCCAATATAAATAAATAAATCTTTAAAAAAATTTTTCTCCTCTGGATAGGAAAGTTGAGACACCTAAGACCCAGCACAATGCAGATATAGGCTGAACTGCTTGCAGGAAATTATGAACCCTTTAAGAAATTCTTACATAAGTGCAGATCCTCCGGGGCTCTGATAAACTGTGCCAAGCCACCCCTTGCCACACTGGCATCCCATGTGGGTGCCAGTCCGGCTCCCTGTTAATACTCCTGGAAAAGCAGCAGCCAGCAACCCAAGCGCTTGGACCCCGGCCACTCACGTGGGAAGCCAGGATGGAGTTCTGGCTGTGGGCTGCAGCCTGGCCTAGCCCTGCCCAGTGCGGTCCCTCGGGGAGTGGACCACTGCATGGAGACTGTGGGCCTGCAGGGTACCTCTCTCACGGAGAACCTCCAATGCCCAGGTGGCCTGGGCTCTGGATTGGAAACAGAAGCCTACACTGAGGTGAAAACAGGAAGAGGTGGGAGGGTGATACAGAAGAGAAAGAGAGCCGTCTCCCTCCGTATCAAGCCTACATTATAAGCTATTTCAAGACATCTGAAGTGAATAAAGGCAGCTGACAGTCTACCTTAGTGCCCTCACCTCAGAGAGCCTGCAGTGGTTAAGCCGGTTACAAAGGAGCTGGGCTGCCGAGGAAGTGCGAGGAGGGAGCCTGGCGACCTGCAGCTTTCTCACCACGAGAGCGACTCTGCTGTATTTGCTGTTGCCAGGGGAGTGAGCAGCCTGCCCCTTCCCCCTCGCCCCCGACAGCAGGGGTGCCCAGTGCTGGGGCTGGCAGGCCTTCTGTGATAGCCAGCCTGGGCTGTGGCATGGCTGCACAGCTCCCTGAACACTGCTTCTCAGAGTCTGTGTTTGGAGCCAGCAGGGGCCCTCACTGAGGGGTGTGGAGCTCATGGTGCACCAAGAACCTGCCCAGACCGCCAGCTGCTGCGCTGGGTCATCAGAGGCCAAAATGGCAGCCTGCACCAGCATCCCACCGCTTGCCTGGAAGGACAGCACTCACAGAGGGCAGGGGAGGGGCAGGTACCACAGCCTGCACAGCCAGGGCCTGCCGGCACTCACAGGGGGCAGGGGAGGGGCAGGTAGCACAGCCTGCACAGCCAGGGCCTGCCGGCACTCTCTCAACAAGCCTGCCATTCCAGCAGCTTCGAGACGTTCTGAAACACACATCCTGAGAAGCATCGGCCTCTGGACCTCTGGCTTCCTTTGCGCCAACTCTGCAGTGTCCTCATGTGCTGCTTCTCTGAAGAACCCCGATTTTTCTTTATCTATTTTTATTGCAAAGTCAGACATACTGAGAAGAGAGACAGAAAGATCTTTCGCCTGCTGGTTCACTCCCCAAGTGGCCACAAGTGGCCTGAGCTGAGTTGATCCAAAGCCTGAAGTCTCTTTGGGGTCTCCCACAGGGGTGCAGGTCCCAAGGCTTTGGGTTGTCTTCAACTGCTTTCCTGGGCCACAAGCAGGGAGCTGGATGGGAAAGGGAGCAGCTGGGATATGAACCGGCGCCCACATGGGATCCTGGACATTAAGATGAGGATTTAGCCACTAGGCTTTTGCACAGGGCTCAAGAACCCTGATTCTACATGTGACGACTGGGAGAGGTTCAAACAGGCCTCAGGCTCCTCGACTCTCCAGGAGGCCCTGAATACCACTGACATCACAAGAGTACTGAGTACACAGTACTCTGTATAAAAACCTCAAATTGGGAGTCAGTGGAAACACAGCATGCTAATCCGCCACCTACAGTGCCTGCATCCCAGCTGCTCTGCTCCCCATCCGGCTCCCCGCTAATGGCCTGGGAAGGTGTTGCCAGCCGCATCTGTATGTACTGGCCACATGCCGTACCCAAAATGGCGCCGGCCGGAAAAGCCACACCTTGGTTCCTGATGGAGAGTTACATAGCTTTCGCGGTACTGCGCAGGCGCCTAGCGCATGTGCAGTGAGCTGAGGCGTGGCCGGCGCATGAACTCTGGGACTGACGAATCCAGTCGCCCAGGACCCTGCGTAATCATGACGCCGACCTATCATCGGCGGAGGCGGGGCCAGTCAGCACATAAGAGCAGACAGCCTGCCGGTGTCGGAGCCTTTCCTCCTCATCTTGGTGCGCGCAATAAAGATTACCGCAGAAGACTTCACTCGCGTCTGCCTCTTATCGCCGGACGATAAGAAACGTGGGCACGACAGGAAGGCAGTGGAGGACGGCCCAAGATCTTGGTCCCCTGCACCATGTAGGAGACCCAGAAGCTCTCGACTCCTGCCTGGCCCACCTGGCCCATCTGGCCCATCCAGGGAGTAAACCAGCAGACAAATCCTTGTTTTCCACATAAATAGCCCTTACAATCTGAATGCACAGGAGGTTTTGGATCACGAATTAGGAATAAGCATATTATCAGTGAGACCACCCAAGCCTCTGCCCCTAGCCGGGAATCAGTGCAGGAACTGGCCAGCCGTTTCCGGTGGGCTGAGATCCCCAATGGGGAAGGTCTTCCCACAGGTTCCGGGCCAAAGTCGAGCAAGGCAACCCCTAAAACCCCATCACCCCTCCAGAACACCCCTGCTCACTCTATTTTCTGGAGACACTGTTACCAGAAATGCCTGGTGGATGCTTTCCTCAGCTTAGTATAGAAATAAAAAGCTGGGAATCTGTTGCAGACAGGAAAGTTTATTTGTGAAGGCACCAGGTGGGCAGGGGAGAGGAAGCCGGGGGCTGGGGGGCCTATCGATTGGGGAGGAAGAGACACCAAAAGTTCCAGGAAGGACCTCGGGATTTTATGCATTCCCTGACCCCTGCTTGGTGGGCGGGAACCTACAGGTAAGATGCTCTCCACTGGCGGTCTCTTAATCAGCCAGGAAATGGGTGCCACCCACCTAGGTGTGGTGGAGACCTTAGCAGGCCTGGGTGGTCTCCATGCCATCTCTTGGATCCTTCTAGGCTTGTCTGCCTTCCTCCTTTCCTCGCTCAGCTGGTCACTTCGCAAGTAAAACTTCTCTGTAGCCATTTGCTAGCTTTTCATTTCTACAGAAAGCTGAGGAACGAACCCACCGAGCTTTGCTGGTAATACTTTCCCTGGCGCCCAACGGGGGGCGTGCAGACGCCTTCTGGTAGTTCAACCAAGGCCCCGTGGCCCCACTTAGCCGAGAGCGGACTTGGCAAGGTCACCCACCGACCGCAGCCCAGCTCCAAGGGGGATCGTGTTTTTGGGCGTGTGGTTAGGAAGGGCAGCTGTCTGGGAGAGCAGACCGAGCCCCGACTTGCTGTCGGACAGAAGCCAGAACTCCGAGGGACTGCCCAGGTGGACGCCGAGGCCGGCCGGCCAACAGCACGCCAGGGCAGGTGGAGCGTCTCCCGGTTCATTCCACCACCCAGAGCCAGCGGGCGCGGGCGGCCGAGCTAGGACGCCGACCCGGAGGGCTTCGAGGCGGGCCTGGGGCCAGGGGCAGCGCGGGCAGGGCCGCCCGGTCGCACTCGGGGTGGCCGCCAGCCTCGCCGCCTCGCCTTCGCCCCAGGCGCTGCCCGACGGGGCGCGGCGCCCCGGAAGTCAGTCGCTCACGCGTGCGCAATGCCGCCACCGGAGGCAGGGCCCGGCAGAGCCACGCCCCTCGCTCCGGGGTCCCAAGGGCCGGACGCGAGGCGGGGCGGGACCTCTGAACGTCACGCCCCCGCGTCGGGCTCACCTCCAACCGGCGTGCGTCGGGGGCGTGGCCTGTGTGCGCCACGCCCTCCGCCGCGCCTCCACTGCTCGGTGGCGTCATCGGGCGGCGACGCACTGGGGGCGGGACGGGGCGCGGGCGGCTAACTGGCCCAGTTGGAGTTGAGGGTCCGTCGGGGAGGACGCGGCCGGTGCTCGGGTGTGAGGCTGCCGGGCGGCCGGACATGGCAGACCAGATTCCTCTGTACCCGGTGCGCAACGCCGCTGGGGCGGGCGCCCCCAACCGCAGACGCGCGGCCTACTACAGCGCGGCGGGGCCCGGGCCGGGGGCCGACCGGCGCGGCAGGTAACGGCGGCGACCGGTCCCGTCCCCCAAGCTCCGGGGTCCCCGCCGATGAGGCTGGGCGGGCGTGGGGGCACGGGCGGCCGGCGCCGGGGCTTCGTGGGCGCTGCCGTCGGTCCTGATGAGGGTGTGGTGGACAACACCTGATCGGGGCCCCAGACTCGTCCGCTGTGGGGACGTGTAACCGTGTGACCCCAGGATCGTCCGTCATGGGGACGACGTGTGACCGTGTGACCCCAGGACCATCCCCCGATTGGGACGTGTGACCCCAGGTCCGTCCTTCATAGGGACGTGTGACCGTGTGATTCCAGGACCGTCCGCCGTGGGGACGTGACCGTGTGACCCCAGGACTGTCTGCCGATGGGGATGTGTGACCCCAGGATCGACCGTCTGTCTTGGGGACGTGTGTCCATGTGACCCCCAGGACTGTTCGTCATGGGCACGTGTGACCCCAGGACCGTCCGTCATGGGGACGACATGTGACCGTTTGTCCCCAGGACCGTCCGCCGATGGGGACATGTGACCCCGGGACCGTCTGTCTTGGGGACTTGTGACTGTGTGACCCCAGGACCATCCTTCATGGGGACTTGTGACTCCCAGGACCGTCTGCTGGCGGGGGGGCATGTGACTCCCAAGACTGTCCATCTTGGGGACGTGCGACCCTCAGGACTGTCATTGCGGACGTGTGACACCCCTCTAGGAGTGTCCACCGGCTGGGACATGTCACCTCAGTACCGTCTGCTGGTGGGGGATATGTGACCCCCAGTACAGTTGTCAGCAGGGGGCATGTAAGCCCCAGGACTGTCCCTCACAGCCATGTGTTTGTAGGGATGGCTGTGGAAATCCGTCCAGGTGACTTCAACCCATGGCCTTAGGTGGCTGAATGGTTGAGTTAAAAGGCAGATCTTTGATTTGAAATGGAGATCTCAATCCCTGGGAAGACACTTCCCGAAGTTTACTAAATGTTCACCCTCGGCTGAAGACTCAGTACGCTGAGCCATGCATGAGCCTTCTGTCGGGGATGCAGTGACAGACCTTGGGTGTGTGTTACAGCCTTGCCAGCTGGGGCTGGTCTTGGCTCGTCTGCTTCCCCCCGCAGCTGCTGCACCGGTCTGGTGGCTGGTGTGAAGTGGACTCCACAGCTGTCTGTGAGAGCAGCCGCACTGCAAATTCTCAGTGGTCACCTCTAGGTGACGGCTGGTTAGTCATGGAGCACCTGTTTCTAAGCCAGAGCCCACCAGAGTTTGAATCCATCTGTGCTTGCTTTATATACGTCGAAGCTTTCTAACCTGTGTGGACACGCTGGATTGTCCACCCCGTCTTTTATTTTAAAAAAGGTTTGTTTTATTCATTTGAAAGGCAGAGCCAGAGAGGCCTAGAGAAAGAGATCTTCCATCCACTCATGACTCCCTAGGTGGTCACAAGGGCACAGGAGCCAGGAGTCTTCCCCTGGGTCTCCCAGGTGGGTGCAGGGTCTCAAGAACTTGGGTCATACACCACTGTCCCAGCTGGATAGGATATAGTGCTGCAGGCAGAGGCTTAATGTACTATGCCACAGGACCTGCCTTAGGCTGTCCTTTAAATTGCTGTTGGTCTTTAAAGTGACCGTGCTCTCCTGGTCAGGGTTTGCATGATGTTAGCTTTCCACCTACCTGTGTGGATTCCAAGTGAAGGAATGTTGACAGATTTGTGTTTTCATCCATTGCCTACATATTTTGATTGCCATGTTTGGTCCATTTGTATATTTTTTAAAGATTTATTTTTCTTTATTGGAAAGTCAGGTATACAGAGAGGAAGATCTTTCATCCTGATGGTTTACTCCCCAAGTGGCTGCAACAGCTAGAGCTGAGCCGATCCGAAGCCAGGAGCCCGGAGCCTCCTCCGGGTTTCCCACGCGGGTGCAGGGTCCCAAGGCTTTGGGCCATCCTTGACTGCTTTCCCAGGCCACAAGCAGGGAGCTGGATGGGAAGTGGGGCCGCCGGGATTAGAACTGGCACCCATATGGGATCCTGGCACGTTCAAGGCGAGGCCTCTAGGCACTAGGCCACGCCACCAGGCCGGTCCATTTATATTTAGGTAATTATTGAGACGTTGCTACTTAAGCATACCATTCTTCATGTTTCTGTCCCTTGGTGAGGTTTCATTGAGTGATTTCCTGTTGTGTCCGTGGTTTCAGCAGTCTCCTCTGTCACCAGGTATGTGGTTTCAGGTGTCTCCTGTGTGTCACCGTTGGTGTACTGTGGTGTACAGGTGTGTTGCATTTCAGCCCTCAGTATCAGATTGTACTGTGTGTTTTAGGCACATAGGTGCTGGATAGCGCATAGAACTGTCTGTGGTTTGTATCCACAGTTCTCCCCTTTATTTTCCTTCCGTCCTCATGGTGTCTATTATTTATATCTATTAAAACTTCTTGCTATAACCAATCCTTCAATTCCTTTCATCTGAAAATGTATTATTTCCCCTTAAATACCAGTGGCTATGTACTGCTGACTGACATGTGTTAGCTCTGCTTGCACCTGGTACCTGTGGGGACCTGCCTTCACTCGGCTTCTGTCTCTCACATGTCCTTTCTGTCTCTCACACGTGTCCTTTATTGTCTCACATGTGTCCTGTGTCTCACACGTGTCCTTTCTGTGTCTCACACGTGTCATTTCTGTGTCTCACATGTGTCCTTTCTGTGTCTCACATGTTGTCCTTTCTGTGTCTCACATGTTGTCCTTTCTGTGCCTCTCACATGTGTCCTTTCTTTGCCTCTCACATGTGTCCTTTCTGTGTCTCACACGTGTCCTTTCTGTGTCTCACACGTGTCCTTTCTGTGTCTCACACTTGTCCTTTCTGTGTCTCACACGTGTCCTTTCTGTGTCTCACACGTGTCCTTTCTGTGTCTCACATGTGTCCTTTCTGTGTCTCACATGTTGTCCTTTCTGTGTCTCACACACGTGTCCTTTCTGTGTCTCACACTTGTCCTTTCTGTGTCTCACACACGTGTCCTTTCTGTGTCTCACATGTGTCCTTTCTGTGTCTCACACTTGTCCTTTTTTGCCTCTCACACATGTCCTTTCTGTGCCTCTCACATGTGTCCTTTCTGAGTCACACGTGTCCTTTCTGTGTCTCACATGTGTCCTTTCTGTGTCTCACACACGTGTCCTTTCTGTGTCTCACATGTCCTTTCTGTGTCTCACATGTGTCCTTTCTGTGTCTCACACGTGTCCTTTTTGCCTCTCACACGTGTCCTTTCTGTGCCTCTCACATGTGTCCTGAGTCACACGTGTCCTTTCTGTGTCTCACATGTGTCCTTTCTGTGTCTCACACTTGTCCTTTCTGTGCCTCTCACACGTGTCCTTTCTGTGCCTCACACGTGTCCTTTCTGTGTCTCACACGTGTCCTTTCTGTGTCTCACATGTGTCCTTTCTGTGTCTCACACGTGTCATTTCTGTGTCTCACACGTGTCCTTTCTGTGTCTCACATGTGTCCTTTCTGTGTCTCACATGTTGTCCTTTCTGTGTCTCACACATGTCATTTCTGTGTCTCACACTTGTCCTTTCTGTGTCTCACACACGTGTCCTTTCTGTGTCTCACACGTGTCCTTTCTGTGTCTCACACTTGTCCTTTCTGTGCCTCTCACACGTGTCCTTTCTGTGTCTCACACGTGTCCTTTCTGTGTCTCAAACGTGTCCTTTCTGTGTGTCACACTTGTCCTTTCTGTGTCTCACATGTGTCCTTTCTGTGTCTCACACGTGTCTTTTATGTCTCTCTGCTCTCTAGTGTCCAATTTGTTTGGTCTGCAGAGTTTACTTATGATGTGTCTTTGTTTAGATTTTGTGTTTTTGGCTTTTGTTGTTTGTCTCTTGCCAGCTTTGTGGTGGTGTTTGCTGTTATTCCTAGAGCTGTGTGATTGCTGAAATCCCCATGTTCTGTTGTCTGTTTGATTTGCAGATGTATGAAAGTTGAATCTTATGCTTGTAACTTCCACAAACTGCTGTGCAGTATTGGGCTCTTTTCTCTGTTCTTACTTTATAGTTCAGCTTCTCTCTCTCTTTTAAAGATTTATTTCTTTTTATTGAAAAGGCAGATATACAGAGAGGAGCAGAGACAGAGAGGAAGATCTTCCGTCTGAGGATTCACTCCCCAAGTGGCTGCAAAGGCTGGAGCTGAGCCAATCCAAAGCCGGGAGCTAGGAGATCTGGGTATCCCACGCGGGTGCAGGGTCCCAAGGCTTTGGGCCATCCTCCACTGCTTTCCCATGCTGCAGGTAGGGAGCTGGATGGGAAGCAGGGCCACTGGGATTAGAACCAGTGCCCATATGGGATCCTGAAGCATTCAAGGCAAGGACTCTAGCCACTACACTATTGTGCCAGGCTCATTTCTCTCTCTCTCTCTCTTTTTTAAAGGTTTATTCTTTTGAAAGGCGACTTATAGGGAGACACACACAGATAGAAATAGTCCATCTGTAGGTTCACTCCCTAAATGGCTGCAGTGGCCAGAGCTGGCTGTTCCAAAGCCAGGAGCCAGGAGCTTCTTCCTGGTGTCCCCTGTTGGTGCAGGGGCCCATGGACTTGGGTCATCCCCTGCTGCCTTTACAGGTGCATTGGTAGGGAGCTGCGTTGGAAGTGGAGCAGGTGGGATGGAAGTGGAGCAGGTGGGACTGGAACCAGCACCCACAGCAACTAGCCTCATTTTGTCTTTCTGTACCTGTTCAGTCTACTGTGGGTCTGACCAATGGGGTTTCGTTTCTATTACTACATGTTTTTATTTTATAATTTGTTCGAAGAATATTTTAGTTGATGGTTGAAGTGTTCTCTTGTGTGCTGCTTTAGGGTGCTGTGTCTAAGTACCCCAGTGCTGGTGCTGGTTCTAATTCTGACTGACTGTGAGGGATTGTTCTGATTATCTTCCGGGTGTTTTGCAGATTCTCTCAGGAGAGTACATTTTTTTTTCATATGTTACTTGTCATGTGGCCACCTGTTTCTCTTTAGGCTTAGATGCTGGCCTGTAGTTGTGGG